AGTTCCACTGGTTAACTGTTCTAACTGTCAGGAAGTTTCTCCTTAGTTCCAGGTTGCTTCTCTTTTTGGTTAGTTTCCATCTGTTGCTTCTTGTCCTGCCTTCAGGTGCTTTGGAGAACAGCTTGACTCCTTCTTCTTTGGGACAGCCCCTGAGATACTGGAACACTGCCAGGCTGGCTCAGGAATTCTGGGAGTTGAAGTCCACCAGTCATAAAAGAGCCAAGGTTGCCTACCCCTGACCTATACTGTGCAGTGCACCCTTCTTCCTTTGAAAAGCAGCTGCACTTATAAAATCTCTCCTCCGGCCTTACTCAGATCTCGGAGCCAGGCCGCCAGACGTGATCCGGATTCTTCGTTTCCTCCCTCGGCGTAAAAGCAAGGCAGCTTTTGAGCCATCGGAGCTATTTTTTGCCAGGGGAAGTGAAAGTTACCTTCGTAATCCTGCACTTTCTTCATATAAATCCTGAGCTGCTTCTTCAGCTTCTTCTCATTCTTTTCTAGTTTCTCCAGCATCTCTTTCAGGTCCTGAAAAACAGGAAGAAATCCCAGATCGGGCTCAGCTCCTGCCCAGACGGAGCGATGCCCGCGCGTTTCGCCCAGAAGATCGGTTAAACAGCAAAAGAAGCGGAAGAGAAGATGGACGTCCTTGGCAGATGTGTCCATATATTTATTTAACAAACTTAACTATAGAGTCACTCAGGGGAAATTAGGGGAGAAACACAAAAATATACTCAAGGCACATACAGTAAATGCAACTGAAAACCAAATTGGATTGAGGCCCCTAAAAATTGCATTATCAACACATAATCAAATCTATACTCACACTAGGCCTCCATCGAGGCCTGGGGGAAGAACCAGTCCTTCACAGCGTTCAGGCTGCCTGCATCTTGGGGGTGGGGGGGCTGCCCCACAAGACAGGTGCCGTGCCAGAGAAGGCACACCTCAAGGGCCCACCAGCTGCCCTCTTTCACAGCAGGGGTCCCAAACCCCCAGTCCGTGGACCGGCCCTGGTCTGCGGCATGACAGCAACCGGGCCGCACAAACAAGCGAGGCCCCATTTGTGGGGTGCAGGCAGCACACAAAACCAGCCCCCCTCCGGTCCCCGGAGAAACCTCTCTCCACGGAACTGGTCCTGGTGCCCAAAAGGTTGGGGGCCGCTGTTTTACAGAGAGGGCCCAGCGCACCCCCACGGTGCCAGATCTTGTTGGAACCACTGGGCAGAGGTGATCCGTAAGAAACTTGATCCTGTGTCACAGAGGGCTTTAAAAGCAACAACCAGCACCTCGAATTGCGCTCAGAAGCTTACTGAGGGTCAATCCAGCTGACAGAGCGGCAGTTCAGGTGGTCCTCAACTTATACCCGTTCGTTTAGTGATTGTTTGAAATTACACGGCGCTGAAAAAGGTGATTTGCAACCGGTTCCTGCCCTTACAGATGCCGCAGCATCACCATAGCTACGTGGTCAAAAATTCAGCCGCTCGGCAACCGGCAGGTGTTTACGAGGGCTGCTGCGAGGTCCTGGGGACCAGCCTTTGCCCCTTCCCAGCCACCGTCTGGCAAGGGGAGTCAACGAGGGAAGCAGGGTTTATGCTTAAGGACTGCGTGATTCAGCTGCAGTGGCTTAACAAGCATGGCAGAAGAAAAGGATCATGAAATTGGGTGCAGGTCACTTAACCGGATCACTTACGAATGGAATTTCTGGCCTTAATTACAGTCATAGGTTGAGGACTATCTGTACTGGGTGGGCATATCATGGAACAAACAATACTCTACATTGGGGGTCTTCCAACTTGGCCCTTTGATGACTTGTGGACTTCAACTCCCAGAATTCCTCAGCCAAGCACGCGTGCCTGGCTGAGGAATTCTGGGAGTTGAAGTCCACCAGTCATCAAAGGGCCAAGTTGGAAGACCCCTGGTCTGGATCCAAGCCTGCAGTTTCATCAAAATGGCCGACTGAGGAATTCTGGGCGTTGAAGTCCACCAGTCCTCAAAGGGCCAAGTTGGAAGACCCCTGGCTCTACATGCTGTTGTGTTCTGGACCAGCTGTAGCTTCTAAACACTTTTCAAGTGTAATGGTGCAGCTGACAGGAGTCTATGGCAGCGGTCCCCAACCTTTCCAGGTTGGCGGCCTGGAACGGGACAGGGGAAGAGGCGAAGGTTGTGTATGAGGGACAGGCACATACACAGCTTCATTTGAGTGGGGCTGCGAGCGCAAGCCTGCTCACCCGCTGCTCACGTGGCCTGGGTCTGAATAGGCTGCAGCCTGGTAGTGGGCTGTAGTCCAGGGGTTGGGGACCCCTGATATATGGTATGAGTGACTGTGAGAAATGCCTCCCGGTCTAGGAATGAGCACCACTGTCACAAAAGATGCATTTGTGTAAAGATGCTGCCACTTTCTCCTCAAGTGAGTCCAGGAATACCCCAGAAAGCATTAAAGCATTAAAACCCCACCCCAGAAAAGCACGTCTACTTTGAAGGGGCGACCAAACAGGACCTTTTAAAAGGCTGCATGGTGACCAGGAAAACAGCACAGCGGCCAACTCAGTTTGAAGTCACAGATGTTAACATCTGCGACAGGGATGTTCAGGGTTTCGGATTTTAACATAGAGCTGGAATCAAGAAAGTGTTGGCTGTCAGAGATGCTTCCCTAATTTGCTTTCCTCCAGAGCAGTGTTTCTCAACCTTGACAATTTTAAGGCATGTGGACTTCAACCCCCAGAATTCCACAGCCAGCAACGCTGGCTGTGGAATTCTGGGAGTTGAAGTCCACATGCCTTAAAATTGTCAAGGTTGAGAAACACTGCTCCAGAGAATCTACGCTGCCGTTCAAGACCTCTGTGTCCAAAGGACGAAGGACTCTTGTCTGGGAGGGGGTGACCCCTTGTGTGGCCAGAGCCCTCTGGCCTTATGCAGTCCGTTATGGATTTGCATTCCTAATCAAAGGCGGCAGGAAACCGATGAGAAAGCTGCCGTGAATCAGACGTTGTCCACTCAAGCGTGGTCCGTTCGTGACAGGTGACTAATCACCCGCGTTCAGCTTACCCAACCTAGCGGAACAGTTGTGAGAATAAAATAAACATCTCATTTATGGTTTAATAATATTAAAGGTACTCAAGGTGTTTTCACAGGATGTAAGCTGCTCCAAATAAAGCTGCCTTTTGCAATTGACCGATGGGGACTTGGTCAATGCCGACGCTGTTCAAGGGGTGCTCGAGTGGCCCCCGAGACCCCTCTTCCTGTTCATGCTACTACCTTTGCTTTCTTTTGCCACAGTTGTTGTACTTCAGTCTGCAGGCCTTTGTATTTTGTGATTAGGGTGATTATATTCTCATCAGACTCAACTGAAAGTCTTTGATCAACCCGATTTTTTCTTTCTTTCGGGGTTTTATTTCAATCTCTGCCGAGCCAAACAATTATACGTTGTGAGTCACGTAATGTGTCAGGTTGCCATGGCGAGCCTGAATTATTCTAAACAGCAAGTTGTCACGCTGCTTTTTGAAACGCTCTCTCCAGGTTCTTATTAAATGCACCTATAATTTTACTGAAAACGTGGTTCAGCGAAATGGGGACGGTGTGGGTTTAGCAAATGAACGGTGGCTTTTAGAGCCAGTTTATAAAAGCTGTAAACACAAAAAGCAAAGTTGGGCAAAGTTTGATGTTATTTATTTTACAGTGTGTGCAGGGGAAGAATGTTTCACAATGGAGCTGATGAAACAAAAATAGTGGGTCACTCTAGTGGACAATCACTTAAATATGAGCCATCAGTGTATGACGGCCGCAGGGTCCCAGCGTCACCTGATCGCCATTTGTGATCTTCCTGGCCGGCTTTTGACAAGCAAAGTCAATGGGGGAAGCTGGATCTGCTTAACGACTGCGTGATCCACTTAACAACTGCAGTGATTTGCTTAACAACTGTGGCAAAAAAAGGTCGTAAAATCAGGTGCAACTCACAACTGCCTCACTTAGGAACGGAAATTCTGGCCTCAGCTGTGATTGTAAGCTGAGGACTCTCTGTGCCTCTGCCAAGAGCGCCTTGAATGCAGACAAAGCTCCTGAAAATTCATCAAAAATTGTTCCATGCCAGGCTGTCACTCAAACTATTCTCCAAAGTGCCTGAAGGCAGGACAAGAACCAATGGTTGGAAACTGACCAAAGAGAGAAGCAACCTGGAATTAAGGAGAAACTTCCTGACAGTGAGGACATTTAGCCAGTGGAACATCTTGCCTCCAGAAATCGTGGGCGCTCCATCCCTGGAGGTTTTTAAGAAGAGACTGGACAGCCACTTGTCTGAAATGGTACAGCTTGTGCACACCGGATCTTTTAGACCACACATACAGAATACTGAGGACCTTGGAGGTCTTCAAGTCCAACCCTTGCTCAAGTAGGAGACCCCAGACCATTTCAGACAAGTGGCTGTCCAATCTTAAGAGTCTCCAGTGATGGAGCACCCACCACTTCTGAAGGCAACTTCCGTTCTCACTGTCAGGAAATTTCTCCTTAGTTCCAGGTTGCTTCTCTCTTTGATTAGTTTCCATCCGTTGCTTCTTGTCCTGCCTTCAGGCGCTTTGGAAAATAAGTTGACCCTCTCTGCCTTGTGGCAGCCCCTCAAATACTGGAAAGCTGCTATCATATCCCCCCCCAGTCCTTCTTTTCTCTAAACTAGCCAGACCCAATTCCCGCAACCGTTCTTCATATCTTTTAGTCTCCAGGCCTTGGATCATCTTAGTTGCCCTTCTCTATGAGCAACTCCTCATACACCTATGGCTCTACATCTATGAGCAGGTCTGACTAATCCGCGAAGGCCACCCTGGAGTCCTTTTTGACTGAAGGGTTGGGCACCCATCTTTCAAACAAGGCATCATCATCCACGATGGAAAGAACCCTGCCCTTCCACTCGTTCGCCATACCAGGTTTTCGCTGGTCAGCCGGGAGATTTCCTGCTGGATGCCGAACTCCACCTGGGCTTCTGGCGACAGCTGGAGTGTCTGGAGGAAGAGTTCGTGCTGTTTCTCCAACGCCTCCTTCAGGGTCTCCATCTGGTCCTTCAGGACCTCTATTTCTTCTTCGTACTCCCTTCTCTGGTCCTGGAGCTGAGCCTCGAGGAGCCTGGAGGGGGAGAAGCGGGAAAGGTGAGCACGTCCGGCCCTCAAATAATATGAGGCACTTCAGAGGCCCAGAGACGGCCAGGATGCCCCTGAGGGCGTCAGGCGCCAGGGCTCGCATTCACGGGCCAAATGCCTTGGAGGAACTGTGGGCAGATCTTACGTAGCAAAAGACACCGGCCCAGCGACTTTTGCAGGAAATGTGTAGGCTCGCTGATTTATGTTTGATTTTGATTTTAATTTGATTTTGATTTTATTAAATTTATACCCCGCCCTTCTCCCGGAGGACTCAGGGCGGCTTACAGCCAGTTTAAAACAATGATATAATACAATACAAAATTTAAAAAGATTAAAAATAACTATTTAAATTTGGCCGCTTCTACTAAAAATTTAATTTAAAACCCCTTTAAAATACCCCTAGGCCAGTCCTGCCTG